TAATAAATAAATGCCTGGATGGACTAATAAATAAATAAACTGATGGGAGTAATTTACTGAGGGCTGTGTAGGGTAGCAGTATGTAACTCATGGCTAGAACTTGCCAAGTAAGTGCTAAGAAAAAGAGAGAGCCATAAGTTTACTTATTATATTACCAGGGTCCAACTCTGTAATTGCAGAAACACCACTGTCAGGCTTTCACTTGCATTTAAGTCAACAAATTACCACAAAGAAAAGCTGCAAGAAAGACCACTGTCAGGCTCTTTAGTTTAATCTTTTGAGTGGCATATCACAAATTCTCTTTCTATGTTAAGAAAAGTAGGTTCCACTGGGATTTGAAACCACATTGCCATATTCAAAGTCTGGAGTGATAACCACTACATGGAATCATTTTGTGTGTCCAAGATAATAGCCATCTCAGGAAAAACTAATTGATCAAGGAGCACAGTTTTTGGCACCATTGGCAAGCAACGGTAGAAATGGTATAGATGGCAATGACACATCAAGTCCTGCCAACAATGTGAATAGGATTGTCACTACATCCTCTGCTCTTACACACATCATATTTGGCGAGAGGCGATGAGCGTGATGAGATAATAAGGTTGCTCCATGAGACAAAGCAGTGATTTTGAAACAAGCTCTAGTAGCGAGCAAGTGTTATTCCGTTATTGGCATATATGGTATTGCGGGTTCTGGGAAGACAACCCTAGCACAACTTGTGTGTACTTATGAACGGATGGATAACTACTTTTACCCAGTCATGTGGATTCACGTTTCTCAAAATTTTAATGTGAAAGGCAGCTTCCGGGGCTCCATGCCATGAGTTCAGAAGTCTTAACACCCTACAAATGAAACTGGAGGAACAATTGAGATGCAAAAGGTTCTTTATAGTACTGGATGATATCTGGGCTGTGAAGGATGGCATTGTTCGGATTTGGAAAAAACTGGATCAGCTACTTTCTCCACTGAGGATTGTTAGAATATATACACTTACTAGTCAGCAGGAATCGGCACCTACGTTGTAGGGAAGACAAAGATGGAAGCTCATATGAAGTGTAGAACAAAGATAAAAAAGTTTCATTTTAAGCTTTATATGTATGAGAATAAAGATATGAACTGTGTGAAATCTACTATATGAGCCAAGTTGAATTCGACCATACATAGCACATTTGTCGAGTGAAATGTGCTTTAGTTTTATGATGAGAATGCAGACTACCTACAGCGTGACATACTTGTATTAATCATTAAGCATACGTTACCGATTGTTTTTTTTCCTGAGACTTCTGGGACAGACAACTCACTATCTCCAAAATCTACATTTTGCTCAATATTCATTATAATCAAAATAACCCTATATCACTAATACCATGACAGAGTAATAAGTCCAACAAGACAAGAAGATAAAAAAGTATATAATCTACTAAAAATAATTCCATATTTCCATTCTCCATCACTCAAAACAGATCATGAACCCATTTACAGACATGATCGATCAATGAAACCCTCGTCCAGCTTTCTGGCAACCAAACAGTTGGATTTGACTAAACAAGTGAGTACCTTAGAGAGGAACTCATCTAAGGCGAAGCTTGTAGTTGCTATCCAGCGTGATCCTTGGGCACCACCCTCTCATCCACCCACGCCTCCAGTGCAGCGGCTCTCGCTAGTTTCTCATGAAACCCAAAAGGTCAAGACCTAAGGCACCCCACACAATCCGAAACCAACAACTTGGCGGTGGGAGGCGGTCCAGAACCCGAGGGCCTTGACGAGGAGCCGGGAGAGCACGACGGTGAAGGCCCCCTCTCCGCCCATGAACTTCGCCGACAGCTCCGCCGTGTACTTGGCCAACGATGCCGCGAGGTCCGCCTCCGCGTCGAATATGATGAGTTTTTCGCTGTCTAGGCGGTTGCTTGGTAACCCTAGCCGCCGTCGCGGTTGCTTGCTCTCAGGAGGTCGAGGTCCCAAACCCTAACCTCATAGCTGCGCGGAGGAGAGAGTGGTGTGGTGGTCGGAGGGGAAGGGGAGAGCGGGTGGCGGCGCGGAGCGGGCGAGCAGCCTGACGGCGTCTGTAACTGATTTCGCCCAAATTATAGCTTCTAGTGCCCAACGGACGGTGATATATCTCAGACCACGGTAGGGGCGGCTGAGCTTATAAGCCGCCCCTATAGTTGAATTAGCCACTATAGGGGCGGCTGAGGTTATAAGCCGCCCCTATAGTTGATTTTTTTTTTCAAAATTCTAAATCAAAATGAATTATTCACATGTAAATAATAAGTAATACAGTACAAAATTTTATATTTATTTTTTTATAGATATATTTACATATACAATAACTAAAACAACTACAACATTTTAAAATTGCAAAATTGAACCTTTAAAAATTTGAAAAAAAAATTAAATTTTAAAAATTAAAATCAAAACTACTAAAATAATTTTGAGACAACAAATGATCTCAAATAAAAATTTGATAAATGTCAAAGTTGTAGAGGTCATGAAGATCTACAACTTTTATTTTGGTCATCTTGTCATTTTATAAAATTTGAACCTTTCGATTTTGAAATTTTAAAAAATAACAAGTTCGAACCAAAATTTGAGACCCAAAATGATTTCAACATAAAAAGTGATGAATACCAAAGTTGTTCAACTCATTAATATCTACAACTTTTATTTTAGTCATCTTGTCATTTGACAAAATTTGGACCTTTCAAATTTGAAATTGTGAAAAACGACAAGTTCAAACCAAAATTTGAGACCCAAATTGATTTCAACATAAAAAGTGATGAATACCAAAGTTGTTCAACTCATGAATATCTACAACTTTTATTTTGGTCATTTATTTATTTGATAAATTCTTAGCACACATTGTTCACTAATCTTACACATGTGTCATATAGTTTATAAAATCTTACGAGAGATGTGTCACATTTGTGAACAATGTCATTACCATTTTGTCATATGAAGAAATGACCAATACAAAAGTTGTATATCTTGATGAGTTATTCAACTTTGGTATTTATCATTTTTTCAGCTGAAATCATTTGGGGTACCAAAATCTTGTCTGAAGTTGCATTTTTTTTTAAAATCAAAATTTAAATTGCTCAAACTTTTCATATGTATATATTGACAAAACCAACAAAATAAATTGATAGAGCATGATTGTAGAAAATTTTAGGAAAAAAAATCATCAGATTTGGAGTTAGTATGAGGAAGAAAAACTAGTTACAAAGTTGACCCACAAATTAAAAAAAAATCGCACTGTTCACTATGATCATGTAAGGATTATCTAGAACAGTGTGATTTCTCTTTTTAATCTGTGGGTAAACTTTATAATTAGTTGTTCTCCCTCATACTAACTCCAAATGTGATGGTTTTTTTCCTAAAAATTTCTAAAATCATGCTTCAGCATTTAAGTGTGATCAAACTTGGATGTGACAATGTTTTACACGTTTTAAAATTTGAAATTTAAAATTTGACAAGTGTTTTACACGTTTCAAAATAAATAATAAATGATAATTAGTAGCCATGGTAGAGGATATTTTACACATTAGCAACAATTAAAATCTTACACATTTACCTACATGCAAACCCTAGTCACATAAAGAAAAAATTGAAAAAAAAACAAAATCCTAGATCTAGATATAGGGTTTCATGACACATGCATCAAACTTCACTAATACTACACTAAAATCAACAAAGATGTATTAATAAAGGGTGCAATCTTACTTTTCTACCTAATTTATCCTAATATAGTGAAAATTAGGGTCTAATTTTACTCATAACTAGCTCAAGCTCCATGAAAGAGAGAGAAAACCTAAAATCAAATTACTCACTAACCAACGAATTAAACTTAAATAAAGAGTTAGAGACGCATTTCCTTACCTTTTAGAGCCTCTTCACTAAAGGAATTGAGATCAAAACCTCCCCTAGAGCAATTTTTAGGAGGAGCCCAAGGCCTCCCAACCTTTTTTATGTGTGTAGAAGAGTGTGTCCCAAGGTGGAAGAAGAGGGTGGCTGCTATTTATTCGTGTGCCATCAGTAGGGGCGGCTGGTGATTCAGCCGCCCTTACAATCAGAACTGCAGGGGCGGCTGGTGATTGAGCCGCCCCTATAGATCATCCCTAACTGTAGGGGCGGCTCAGGTTACCAGCCGCCCCTCTGATGACATCTCTATTGTAAAGGGCTGGTGATTGAGCCGCCTACAGATCAACCCCACTCAGAAGGCGGCTCAGGTTACCAGCCGCCCCTACAGTGACATCTGTAGGGCCGGCTGGGCTGCTGGGGCCGAGGACGCCCACTGTAGGGGCGCCCCCAACCCCAGCCGCCCCTACAGTAAAAATGCCCCCGTTCCTACTGTAAGAATCTGGCGTAGTGTACCCACGTTAAGTCGAGAGCTCAAACTCTGGTGTGTATTCCACCACGAGCAACCTAACCATTTGAGCTATATTCAGTTATTCCCCAAATAATCTATTGTGTATTGCATTATTCTAAGAGGGTAAATATATATGTATATATGGGAGGGCCTTGGAGTGCAAAAAGTTCGTAGTAGTCCTAATTCTATTTTCTCTTTAGGATATCTCTAGAGTTTGTATACGTCTCCAATTATCTTCATATACTATGAGTCGAAGAAGGAATATCATAGGGACTTGAGTCTCATTTCCTTGTTCCGTGTTTTGTACTCCGTTTGATGGAGTGTAGTCTCAGTACGACGCGTCTGTTATCAATAGCTATACTCATTCATTCGCCTTTGAAACTTAGATGCTTCTTGTATTCTTTTTTTCTAAAAAAAAGTAAGGTTCACTTGATATATACTCTATGTAAGATTCACTTGATATATAAGGACGCACAAGAAACCAAATACATATGCACTATTGAAAGTAGCACAATCCGTATGAAGCACCACTAACTTTATTACACCAAACATGACAAGGATTCTTATTTCTTATTCCTCATTATTGCTTACGTAACTATGTAGCAGCATAGTGTCATCACACAAATAGTTCCCTTCAGAAAGTTCTATGGGTGGCCACTGCCAGCACTCCCGGACCCACTCCCTGAGCCGCTTCCATATCCACTGCCACCTGGACCACTTCCTCCACCCCCACCACCTTGGCCACCGGCTTGAGCATATCCACCACCATAAGGACCATATCCACCAGCCTGCCCATACCCAGAGCCAGCACCGGAACCTTGTCCTGACCCTCCATTCTGTCCTCCGCCACCACCTCCACCCTGGCCACCTCCCTGAGCATAGCCTCTTCCATAAGGACCATATCCACCAGCCTGACCATACCCAGAACCCGAGCCGGAGCTAGACCCAGACCCTCCATATTGTCCTCCACCGCCACCTCCACCTTGGCCGCCGCCCTGAGCATATGCCCCACCATTGGACCCGTACCCATCGGCTTGACCGTACCCAGAACCTGAACCATAACCAGATCCAGAACCCCCATATTGTCCTCCACCACCACCTCCACCTTGACCGCCTCCCTGAGCATACGCCCCACCATTAGACCCATATCCACCAGCTTCACCGTAACTAGAACCAAAACCACTAGTAGAGAACATACCTTTGGTCCTCGGCCAAAATGGGCTATAATCTCGGCATTTTTTGCGCCTGGGACTAGAGATACCTTTAGTCCCGGTTGGTGGCTCCAACCGGGACTAAAGGTCCCTGCCCAACGGCTACTGCACCAGACAGAGGTGGCAGGGACCTTTAGTCCCGGTTGGAGCCACCAACCGAGACTAATGGTAGACTTTTACTCCCGGTTGGTGGCTCCAACCGGGAGTAAAGGTCTACTCTCGGGCCATGGCTGAGCCGGAGGTTGGAAAGTTACCTTTAGCCCCGGTTGGAGCCACCAACCGGGACTAAAGGTCTAGCTTATGAAATTCTCTACAATTCACTTGTAAACATCAAAGCATGATTCTGAAGTTAACCAAATCAAATTCCAGTAGACCTAGAATCTGTCCAGAATGACGGGGTTGCTAACTTAATTATTTAATGATGGTGCAAAAGCCTAATTTGACCAAACCAAGTTTACCAACTTGTTTTTCATATCTAAGAAACATCAGAAAGTATAGTGCTAACTTCTAAATAAATTATTTAATATCCTTTTCCAATTTATTTAGTTAATTAGGTGATTTAAGCAATATATAGTAAAACTATTCATAAAAATCTACAAAAATTACAGTAGCTATCTCAACATTGGTTATGGTTTTTTTTCTTCTTCAATAGTATAAGTTATCAATACATATCCATGCTAGACCTTCCCATTGGTAAAAATATAAATAACGATAGCTAGAATACTCTCGAGTAAAATGCTATAATGGTATATTATCTGTGCGCTTGCGGATACTTTCCATTTATAGATTTATATATATTCTCTCTAGTCACATAATTAATAAAGATCTACTTAGTGTTATTCTAGTAGTAATACTATGTAGTACCAACAAATATCGCTGCATCAACACTAGGGATGACAACCTAGTAAAGTTAGGGATATAGGTTTATGATAGGTGGCTAAGTACTTCAAACAAGTGACACGTTAATAAACACCAACACCCATGTTGCAACGTTGGTTCTCCACCGCCTTAGGGTTTGCATCTACGCCGTTCTTTCAAGTCGATTTTATCCGAGGGCTCAGGATTGACGTTCTCCCTTATATATACTGGCCCCTACCACCCCACAGGGCATCATTGATCATAATTCTCCATCAGTCAAGAAGTTAGAAACCCTAATCATCCTCAGAGCTCCACCATATTCTAGGGCATAACTAGCTAGGCTAGATCTAGAGGGAGGCAAGCTTCGCTTGGATTCCTGATCTTGTCAAGAAGCATATAATCATATGTTTGCTACAATTGATTCGACATTGTTCTTAATATTGTTCATGTTCCTAGATATCATGTTCATCGTTTACTTTGATTATATGCTTAGTATAGCTAGATTATCATTATATTCAAGTATAAGTTCGTATAGCGCTCTCTCTAATGTAAATGGGTGAGTGGTCGACATTGTGTAATTGTGGTGCTTATATGTTGTTTACCTACAGATGAACCCTATATTCTAAGCCATGTGGTAGATCGTCGATGTGACACTCCCGTTGAGTCCTTTGTAGTCCACTCCCCGAATATAGGTCAAGTAGGATCTAGTTATGAAGGAAGACATGCTCTGTTCTTGATCTTCCTTAGTAATATCCCTTATGTGTAGATATGAAGTTGATCTTAGCCATGACTACTAAGTGTAATTGTACTAATCAACGTATGCTTTGACTTGTAATTAAGAATGACTTAGGAATTATTCTTCTAATTTCTACTTAGCAATGCTAATGCTATAGAATGTAGTACTCTGAGTGATCAATGATCAGTTATTGCTTACTATTTATATACATTTATATCGTGACTTACCCCTGTTGTGAGTAGAATATTGGTTATGATTTATTTCTCCATCGTATGTTTGAGTTATCAATATATTCCAACTGCCCGTACTTCCCTATGGTAAAAATATAATTAATGATACTTGGAATACTCTCGGGTGAAATGCTACAATAGTTAAATTATCTCTGTGCTTGCAGACCCCGTCATATATATATTTATATTCCTTCTAGTCACATAAAATACTTAAGTACTTCTTAGTGTTATTCTAGAAGTGACACTAGATAGTATCAACAAGCATTTCTGGCATCATAGCTAGAAATGACAACTTAACAAAAGTGATGTTAAGAAATGTCAACAATATTAGGTGGTTATTTAAACAAGTGACAAGTTAATAAATACCAACAACGCTGATAGGCTGCGCTGTGACTTGGTGGCCATGTGCGCCGCACTTGTCATGGCCCAGCAGGAAGCCGCCTAGGCGCGAGAAGACAAGGCGGCCATGGTGTCCGAAGCCGTTCATCAAGTGGCTGCCACGGCGCTGGCCGATGCCTAGCTTTAGCTTAACGAGGTGGTGAACGTCTAGGTGGTGGAGCAGGGTTTTCCATCAGGATGGGACGACAATGAGATCAATGATCTCATCAAGAGCCTCCAGCCAGCCACCAACGGCAACTTAGCGAAGCTAAACGTGGAGCAGATCTTGCATGCCCACCTCGGCCCTTGATCTGTGGGACGTATCAGTAGTTAGAACTAGTATGAAGTCATGTTAATCATCTATAGTTAGAACTAGTATGTCTTGGTAGTAGTTGGATGACATTGAGTAGTGGAATGGCACTGCTCTCCTCTTATTTGCATGTATTAGATAAAATTTGTTGAACTTGTAAGAATCATGCAGCGACGAGTTCATACGAGCAAGTCTTGTTTTTCCTCATTTTCCTGTGATGCTTGTTACTGTGTCATTTACAATTTTAAGTTTGGGCCTTGTTTTTAAATCTGGGTCGGCGCGTAGGATTGTCCGGCCGTTGAGAAACAACACGGGTCGGACTTTAGTGCACCATGCAACATGACATACATCAAATGGATCTTTGTTTACTCCTCTACTAATTTTCCAAGAACAATGGAACATAGGGAATAAGGTTTGCTGATGAACTCTGGCAAGACACTACATCTACCATACCGAATGGCAAGGGCAGGGATGACATGAACTTTTATGTTGTCCATGTGTATATGCGATGATGGTTCTTGTTGAATATTATTAGATTAATTATGAAATATCTCTCTTGAATCTTGCAAAACGTATTTTCAATGTTTATGATATCAAATAAATATCATTAGATTAATTATGAAATATCTTTGTTGAACTTGCAAGAACCTTGCAGCGAGGAGCAAGTCTCGCCTCAGTCTAATGCAGAGCAGAGGAGCCACTGATACAAACCGGTATGGACTAATAACACAACTAATTGGCTAATTATTAGAAACTTTTGGAGATTGCCTTTGAAATTCCTTCCAATACTTTTTTAGGAGTTATAAAACTTCATGTTTTTGGGAAAAAATATTGGATACTCTTGGAGATGCTCTAAACACCCAATCTTGAACAACGAGCACCTCGCAAACTTGAAGCACCCCTAATTGAGTATGGAGCCCCTGAACAGGAGAGAACCAGATGATTATAGATCTTCTATTAACACAAGATCTGCAATCATCTAAGTCAAGCTCCTGTTCAACGGTAGCACCTCGCAAAGGATGGAGAAGGAGCAACCTTGCAAAACTTGCACCAGCATCTTAGAGAGGTGCTTTTATATTCCATAATGTTGCTACCTCTGAGGATCAAGGGATGCGGATCTGCATCTCGATGCTCAAGTGCAACAAGATTATGGAATCTAAAGCACCCAATCTTGAAGGCCTTCTCCAAACGCTAACATCCCTATGAGGTAATTTATCTCCATCTTGAATCTCTCACGGGCTCCAGGGCATGAGAGGTGCAAGGAGGAAGACAAAGCACCTCTAGGCGATGAAGAAAGATAATTGACTCATGAGTGTGTGGATTGAGCCCAAGAGGTGCATCCAGACCTAGGTTAAATAGGCCAGCCGAAGATGGAGAAATGCAAGTAATGGTGATGCAAATAGTTGGGAATTAACTCACGCTGACTTTACCGTTGATAGACCAAATCTGACTGAGCTGGACACATCTCACTCTTCACTTTTTAGTCTGCCCCTCAACTATTGTGACTGCTTGGATTGGAATCAAATAAATACAGAAAAGACCTATCACAACTGCACTAGGCATTCAAGTCTCAAGTGTGTTAGAAGCTTTTTTTCTCGATTCACTTCTTGTGTCTAGCTTTCCTGCCGCATTCGCTTCACTCTAATATTTTACTACGCTCGTAAGAAAGTCCGATCCAGCACATTTCATCTTGTTAGACACTATACAGTATAGAGCTGTGAGTAAAACTATTGCCTACGGAGTGCACTCGGTCAATTTGTATCAGTTGTAGTAGTAGTCATGAGTGGCTTTAATCCATGTTGAACCAACTCATCTTATTTTTATGTATTTGATAAGATTTGTTGAACTTGCAAGAACCATGCATCAAAGATTATTTTTATTCAGAATTTTTATACTTCACATGATCACACAAGGTTTGGCCATCTGAAATCTTGACTACCCAAACGATGTGCTCCTACATTTCCGCGCAGGCGCACACACGTGGGTGGCATCAGCAGCCTGTTATAGCAGGAGACGTCGCCTTTTGGCCCATCACATTGACATGACGGGGCAAAGCCCCATTGCCCACCCACACAAATGTCTCGATCATGGGGTGGTCGATGGCCCCCAAACTATAGCAACAGAGATAAGGGCGAGAGGGAAGGTTGACACCTGTTGCCTTCTCTCTCTTTAGAGCTCCTGATTCCATCCCAAAGCTTTTGCCTTCCACCCCTACTGCGCAGTCGACGCCTCCTGCTATGACCATGGCAGAGACAACGAGGTCGTCTATTGACAGGGAGGCCTCAGAGGCCTTCCACGTCGTCAATCCTCCACCAACAGATGGACCTCTTGTCAGCGTGGTCTCTCACCCACTAGTGTCATGGTGGTCAAAAGCTCTTTTTCTTGATTCACTTCTTGTGTCTAGCTTTCCTGCCGCATTTGCTT